TTTAGAGCTTAACAAAACCCAGCAAACTTAAAAAAAAAAATCTTGACCCACTCCACAATAGCCAACCTATTTGAATATGGAGTGATCTGTAAGCAAAATCGCACGCCCTCAGAGAAGAGCCGTGGCATGTGTATTCAGTGCACCTTTTCCCAGGGGATCTGTGCAGAAAAGACCCGTCTCTGAGCCGCTGCAGCCTTCCATGACTTGGACGATGCTGCGGAACAGCTGGTCAGAATTACAGATGACTAAGAATCCTGTGATATCTCTGGAAAACTTGATGTGACATTTTAAATCAGATTCCTAAATCGTTCCTCAGAGCGTGAGCAGCGGGGGTTTGAGAATCTGAGTTGAAAATTTGTGCAGCCCCTCTGGGACTCCCGACGTTGGAACCTCTTTCCATCACTGACCCGGGACTGTGGAATTTTCCGCTGACTACATTTCCTCTCCACCGTTGTCCACCGTGACAACCCTAGCACCTCTCCCCTCGTGGCGCGCTAGGATCTTCACAGATGCTCAAGAACCATTTGCCTTTTGCAGGAAGGGATGAATGAATAAGCCCTGCCTTGCTAATTTCCTTTTGGCCTCCCTCGCTTCTCTCTGGCTCCTACTTCTCACACTGAATTTGGATTCTGTGCTGAGAACTAGTCCGATAAGAGCTGGAAGGGTTGGCCTCTACACAAACGCTGCTGGTAAGGATGCTCTCACCTCCTGTGATGAGGACCACAGCCGTGTGGGGGTCTGGCTCACAAGACGACTGTTTGCAGCCCCTTACGACAGAGCGTATAAGACTCTCGAGCGATGGAGATGAGAATAGGCTAGTAGACAGCAGACCTCATCTTCTGTCCTCTCCGTTACTTGCACTTCTGCAAAGTAAAAAAGTTGCTTCTAGTGTGGCACTACTTGTTCCAGCTGCGCCCCGTGTTCCGTGGCTCTGAAGGGCCACAGTCCAAGCTCCTGGAGCGCAGCTGATGGTCCACGAACCAGCAGCATCAGCAACACCTGGGAGCTTGTTAGAAACGGCCCCGAGGCAACGGGTCCGGCATCCACGTTGTTGAGAGCGTCCCGCCGTGATTCCCGGGCACCTCTCCGTCTGGGAAGCGCTGGCGGGAACCACTTGCTTGACGCTCTGCAGAGTCGTCGGTGCCTTTTGCTCACTTTCGGCTCTGCTTGGCGTCGTGTGTTAAGCAACGACCACGTCGCAGGTGTTATGCCAGACACAGGGGACGTGAAAAGGCGGGCAACGCGGACCTATGCCTGGAGCTCATGGTCTAGCCGGGAAGACTGAGTCAGCAGGAGATCTTTGATTTCCTGTTGTAACACTAAGGTTAAAGTGGGCAGAGAGCACTGGGAGAAGGGGAAGGACTCCTTACCCAGACTAGGGACCCAGAGAAGGTTTCATAAAGAAGAGCTCCGCTGATCTGAAATAGGTGATTGGATGCAACTTAGCCGGGCAAAAATCAGGTAAGTAGCCCAACAAAAAGCAAATCGTCTCTCTCACTTCTTTGTCCTTAAAATAGGTTGCTGTCTAAACCATCAACGCCGTTGTGTGCCTGGGGAAGGGGGTTGATGGGTGGATTCTGTGCCGCTCGCTGGGTGATGAGGGATGAGGATGGAGAGGTTACACAGGCCGGCCAGCGCGGGCCACGTGCCATGTTGCGATGCTGTCTGGAGGCCCCAGAGAAGGGACGTGGCTGGGCTTTTATTAGCTGG